TGTCTCCTCCTGTCTCCTCCTGACCCCTCCTGTCTCCTCCTGACCCCTGCCTCCTCCTGACCCCTGCCTCCTCCTGCCTCCTCCTGCCCCTCCTGTCTCCTCCTGACCCCTGCCTCCTCCTGCCTCCTGTCTCCTCCTGACCCCTGCCTCCTCCTGACCCCTGCCTCCTCCTGACCCCTGCCTCCTCCTGCCTCCTGTCTCCTCCTGACCCCTGCCTCCTCCTGCCTCCTGTCTCCTCCTGACCCCTGCCTCCTCCTGTCTCCTCCTGCCTCCTCCTGTCTCCTCCTGACCGCTGCCTCCTCCTTACCCCTGCCTCCTCCTGCCTCCTCCTGCCCCCTCCTGTCTCCTCCTGACCCCTGCCTCCTCCTGCCCCTCCTGTCTCCTCCTGACCCCTGCCTCCTCCTGCCTCCTGTCTCCTCCTGACCCCTGCCTCCTCCTGACCCCTGCCTCCTCCTGACCCCTGCCTCCTCCTGCCTCCTCCTGCCCCCTCCTGTCTCCTCCTGACCCCTGCCTCCTCCTGCCCCTCCTGTCTCCTCCTGACCCCTGCCTCCTCCTGCCTCCTGTCTCCTCCTGACCCCTGCCTCCTCCTGCCCCTCCTGTCTCCTCCTGACCCCTGCCTCCTCCTGCCTCCTGTCTCCTCCTGACCCCTGCCTCCTCCTGCCTCCTGTCTCCTCCTGACCCCTGCCTCCTCCTGCCCCTCCTGTCTCCTCCTGACCCCTGCCTCCTCCTGCCCCTCCTGTCTCCTCCTGACCCCTGCCTCCTCCTGACCCCTGCCTCCTCCTGCCTCCTCCTGACCCCTCTGTCTGGATTATGCTAATGTAATACTGACACAGCTGCTGTTCAAAATGCTCTCTTCTTTTCTGAATGCGGATGCAAGGATTCGGCCACTGAGACAAATTCATTGTAAATTAATTTTCTTCCTGCTGCTGTCAGACTGTACAATGAAAACTGCTGAGTCTGTACATGTCATTCATCTGTACATAGTAATTACTGCAATCATGTGCTATACTGACATTTCAGAATGTCCACTGAATGTCACTTCATCTCCTTACTATCCAGCCAGATATGTATATAATGTACACAATATACTGTGTTGCTCTTAAGACGCATTGCTACTCACTGTAGGTACATTGTATATTATGTGTGCTCCCTGTGTGCGTTATACTGTCCTGTATGTGCGCTGCTACATCAAAGTGTTCGTCCTGTGGGATGAATAAAGGCTCTTATTTCCTTATCTTATTGTTTGTAATGGATAAAGAGGACTATCTTCATATTCTAAAGACATTGTGATTGCCTTAAAGCAAGATTTGCCAACAGTTCTTGAAAAAAGTCTGAATGGCTTTGTCCCATTGACAAATCAGAAGTCAGAAATCAATTGTTGGCAAATATTTCACACGGATCACATTTAAGTAAATCCGGAAAAACTCAAAGAAAGAAATGTAGGAAGTTGAAGTCCAGGGTTTGTAGTCGGTCCAGGTCCTGACATTACTGCTGTATGTGCACAACCATCCATCGACGGTTGCTAACGCTAATCCATAACCTTAAACAGTTTTGCTTCCTGCTTCTAACTGTTCAGTCGCAAACATCCATCAATATAATGAGCCCGGAGCTCCGCACGCTCCCTGCACTCCCGCCTTATTAAGTCCACATTTGTTTCTTTGTGTACGGCTGCGACGGAGCTCAGAGCATTGGGACGAGGAGGCTGTTTGTTAGTGCTGATGCAGACACAACGCGGCCTCGTAAAGATGGGAAATACTGGAAAAACATGCAGCTCTGAGGTAGTTAAAGGGGAGAGAGAGAGAGCAAGAGAGAGAAGGAGAGAGAGAGAGAGAGAGAGCAATAGAGAGAAGCAGAGAGAGAGAGAGAGAGAGAGAGAGAGAGAGCAAGAGAGAGAAGGAGAGAGAAGGGACCAGGGAGGATGTAACGTCAACTCTGCTTTCGTCAACTGCAGAGATAAGGAAAAGTTATTTGTGTATGGCACCAGCTCTGAGGTTGTTAAGAGACAGAAGAGAGAGAGAAGAGGAGGGAGAGGAAGAGGAGAGAGAGAGAAGAGGAGAGAGAGGAGAGAGAGATACAGAGGAGAGAGAGAGAGAGAGAGAGAGCAGGAGAAGGGACCAGGGGGATGCTTTTGTCAACTGCAGAGATAAGCAGAAGTTATTTGTATATGGCACCAGCTCTGAGGTTGTTAAAGGAGAGAAAAAAGAGAGAAAGGTAGAGGAGAGTGTGAGAGAGAGAGAGCTAGAATAGAGAGAGAGAGAAGAGACAGAGGAGAGAGAGAGAATGTAACGTCAACTCTGCTTTCATCAACTGCAGAGATAAGGAAGAGTTATTTGTATATGGCACCAGCTCTGAGGTTAAGAGACAGATGAGAGAGAGAGAAGAGGAGAGAGATAGTAAGAGGAGAGAGAAAAAGAGAGAGATACTGAGGAGAGAGAGAGAGAAGAGGAGAGAGGGAAAAGCGGAGAGAGGGAGATGAGACGAGAGCTCTGAGGTTGTTAAAGGAGAGTAAAAAGAGAGAAAGGGAGAGGAGAGTGAGAGAGAGAACTAGAATAGAGAGAGAGAAGAGACAGAGGAGAGAGAGAGAAGAGAGAGGGAGGAGAATGGAGAGAGAAGAGAGGATAAAGAGAGAAGAGAGGAGAGAGGAAAAGAGACTGAGGAGAGAGAGAAAAGAGAGGGAGGGAGAGAAGAGAGAAACAGAAGATCTCTAACTTCATTATGCTAAAGTTGGAGATTTTATTTTCTAATCATGTCCCATTATTTTCTTTTCACATGACTTTGACCAAGCAGATGAGACTGGACCATTTCCAAGGCACACCAGCAAACATCTTAAGGCACACGGAGCGGGTCACGGCCCACTGGTTGAAAAACACTGATTAATCCTGTGTGCTCCTCATTCCTACTGTTCTGTAACTGGTGACATTTCCCCACTGACAAATACATTATCTCCTTAATCACCTTGTGGCTCTCAGACTCATGAAAAGTGCAATACCACCTTAACAAACTATGGCCTTCGAGGAGTTTCCACATCATTCGCTCAAACTTGTCTAAATACAGAGGTCACACACATTCTTCAGCGCTAACACCGTCATTCTACACCAAAGTCTGGAGTTCAAACACTAACTGCTCGATTATGTCGTTTTGAAGCTGGAATGTCAATGGCAGTGATGCGGGCGCTGTATCGGACTGTTGCGGTGAAGAGGGAGCAGCGTCTGCAGTCAAAGCTCTCGACTCACCTCCGGTCATGAGCTTTGGGTAACGACCATGGGGATGAGATCGCAGATACAAGCGGTCCACATGACTTTCCTCCGCAGAGTGGCTGGGATCCTCCTTAGAGACAGGTTAAGAGGCTCGGTCACAATGGGAGGAGCTCGGAGTAGAGCCACTGCTTCTCCACGTCGAGATGCTGTCCATTTGAGGTGGCTAGGGCATGTGTTTGGGATGCCTCCTACTCGGACTGGCCTCCTGCTGGTGCCCAGAGTCAGGACTAAACTTGGGGAGGCAGCGTTTCAGATTTATGCAGCTAAAATCTAAAACGGTCTTCCTGAAAATGTGAGACGGGGTTCTTCTCGGACAATGTTCAAATCCAGGTTGAAAACGCTTCTGTTTAGCTGCATGCAACTGAGGGATTATGTATTTTCTCTTTTTGATGTACTGTGATGTAATGATTGATGCCTTGTGTGACTGGTTTTAGCTTGTTTTGTTCAGTACTTTTAGCCGCCTTGTGTATGAACTGCGGCATACAAATAACCTTGTCTTGCCTCCTGTACTCATCCCTAGGGTTGTGTCCTGGTTTATAAAGGTTTTTGACTGTAGTGTGTTCATTGCTATTCACCCGTTGTCCCATTGTCTGTTTCATGGTACGATGACGGGACCTCTGAGCCTGGCCTCCTCCATCTACACCTGCGGACTGTCCTGCCCGACCCGCCTGGAGCTGCTTCAGTGCCGCACCGGACCTGTCCACGTTCTGTAGCTTGGGTCCTGGTTCTACAGCCCGGCCTTCCGTGTAGGAGCGGATCCCTTTCTCAAATGTGGGTCTTCCCGAGGCTTCTCACTTTTTTCCCACTTGGTTTTTGTGAGTTTTTCTTCTAATGCAGGAGAGTCTGTTGGGCAGTTAGTGTCCAACTAGAAGGACTGTGGTGATCCAGGACACTTTAACATTCTACATGTATGACATTTATCAACATTCATGGACATTGGTCTCTCTTTATGGACCAATACACGTGTATATTTTGTGTTTTAACTGTTGATTCTCTGATCTGTGTTGGTGATTTCAATGGTTTTGTTAATTCTCTGAGATGATGCTGTTGTGATTTAGGGCTGTACAAGAATAAGTTGTTGTTGTTATTATGCCTCATCAGAAGTAGCCCAGGGGAGAACCCAGGACACATTGGAGGGACTACTGTACATCTCTCAGCTGGCCTGGGAACGCCTCAGGATTCCCCCCGGATGAGCTGGAGAGGAAAGTCTGGGGGTGTCTCTGCTCAGACGGCTGCCCACGCCACCCAGCAACAGGTAAAGCGGAAGACAAAAGGATGGACGCAAAGTATGTGTCTATAAGTTCTTCTTTTTAAACGCTGAATTCAAATGAGTGGTTTTTCCTCGAGAGCGATGCAACCTTCCTGGACAGAGCACGTCAGACGAGCGGTGACGTAACTTTGTCTTCAGACTTTTGAGTCCAAATAAGGAACCGGGAGCGTCAGAGGGAGTTATGTAAAAGCAGGAGGAGTGAGACGTCAGCTTTCATTATAACTACAGGCTTTTCTGGATCCTTCACAGCACTAAGTCTAGATCAAAGCTTGGATGTACCACTTGTAAATGGGACCAGAAACCAGTGACTGCAAAACACCTGCTTTCTGCACATACAGATTTTGAGGACAGTAAATAAAATAAAGTCAGTTTGTTACTAGCATTGGTCTCCTAGATCCTGACCTCTGATCCATGTTCTAAACCCATTATTTCTGAAGAAGAAAAAAATAATTAAAAAAACCAGCCCCCTCCCGCCCCTCCCTGATTCCCCCACTCCTGCTGAGAGCTAGGAAAAAAAAAGGATAAAACAATTATAAATAAAAAAAAAAATAATAGTAACAATAATAAATAAAAATGATAATAATATAATATAATATATAATAATATAATAATCTAAAAGAAAAAAAAAATACAAATGAAATGTACGCAAAAGGGAGAGTTACCATGAAATTGAATTACAATAATAATAATACAAAAAATACATATTAAAATAAAAGATTAAAAAAAATAATTTAAAAAAACCTTAAAAGATTTGATTTAATTGAACATAATAAATCTTGCACCAAAGAGACAATCTGTTCATGATTTCATTTATTATCATGTTGATCATTTCCTGTCTTTGGCCCATCCTGAGTTTATGACAAATGTGTTGTGTAGATTTCTCAGTTGTGAGATCAATAAAATCTATGTCATCTCACCTTAATAACTACGGCTCATATTTTAATACAGGATTTAAAATATTCTTCTGCATGTTCCCACAATCATTATTATCTAAATATTTTTAATTCAGATTCAGATTCAGTGTTTGCATCCTACATACAAAGGTAAACCAGTGTGACCAGACGTAGCCACGCCCTTCTCCGTCGTCAAAACTAATGTGCCACCACTTTTACCTTCTCGGGGGCTATTTCCATATGGCCCCGGGGCAGGAAAATGTAAAATAAACAAAACAAATTTGCAGCCGTAAGAAAACGCCATACAAAAGCATTGGTTAATTCTTATTCCGGGTACACCCCCACCGACCAGACAACGAGAGGGACTTACCTGTGGCTGTGCCGGTGTGGAGCAAAGGATTCTGGGAGGTGTAGTTCGTTCATGCTCTCTGTGTCTCTGGTTACAGTCGAGCTGGACGTGGCTCTCACACTCCAGGTGGCACGTGTAGCTGCAGTCTGCGAAGAGAAGCCCAGGGTCACTTAGACGTAAGGACAACAGAGACTTCCAGACACCCACAGAAATAGTCAGCCCAAAATGTTAAGATTAATTTAAAGATGCAGTCAGGGATTTTTTCCAGACGCATTTATTAAAATATTGTGTGAAAACGTCCCTAAACCCTAAAAGTATCAAGTTATCATGTGTTTTCAAACAGTAATGGAATTGACCAAATGTCTAGTCACCAAAACTAAATACAAAATATTTTGGAGCGGATTGATACAAATACACCAATGGGATTCGTTCATCCCCAACGAACCAATGGGATGTGTTTATCCCCTTCACCCTCTTCCTGTTTCTCGCGACGGCACCGGAGTTATCAGATTTTCTAAAACCTAAAATGGCTGACCTGAAAATGCCAATTTCACGTTTGCTCCACTCTCTCTGTGACAAAGAAAAGAAAATGCTGGATGTTTGGTTTGGTGGAGAGGGAGGGGAGGGGGGAGTGGTTTCCAGTTGGTGCTACGGCTAAGCTAACAAAATCGCTTACAGCACCTTTAATTGTATTGGTATAGAAATTCCATTCTCTATTTATAGACACAAAAAAATCAACCTTATTTGATTTATTTTCATTAGTACTATAAAGTTCATTCAGCATGTCTGTATTGGCAGAGGTAACGTTTTTTTCTGGAAACATGAAAGCCCCCACTGAAAGATCAAGGCTATGCTCACACTCAGAGCAGCCGTCCTCCTGTGGACTCACCACCTGCAGAGGGTCAGTGAGGGGCTGGTGCTATGAGACTTGGGTGGCATCTCTGACTGCCACCCCCCTGACCCAGAAATGGATTAAAGGGTAGAAAATGGATGGATGGATGGATGAATCCAGCCCAAATGTTGCCATAGTAACATGTAAGTAAGCAGTAATTTTTATTCATATAGAGTCAGAAAGCACTTTACAATTGTTGTGTGCATTAGTCTCTCAAACCACACAGAGATAGGCAAAACCGGAGCACCTGGAAGAAACCGACAAAGACACAGGGAGGACCTTCTTGCAGTGAAGCCCAAGCGATAACCACTATGCCACTGTACCGCTGTATGTATGTTTTCACACGTTGCCCCTGGTTGCCCCCGGTTACCAATGGTTACTGGGATGCTTTAAATTGGATAAATGGTTGAATCAACAGATGTGGTGTGGTTTTAATTCTTCTATTTTGTTTATTACTTAAAGGGGACATATCATGAAAAATCCACTTTTTGTGCCTTAAATGCCTTGTGAAGTTGGAGCCTCTAGAAGTGCAAAAAAGTTGAAATCAGTCTCTTCATGGGTTGCAGAGAACACTTCATATTCTGTTTAGGTAAGATTTTTCAACCCGTTCTGATTTTACCATTCTCTATTACGTGTTTAGAATTATTACGTCACAGTGTGTGCAGCGAGACTGCCATATAAGGGCATGGGCGTCTAACAAAACACTTCGGCCCAGCCCTCCTCTACTGTGCATCACTTCGAATTTGTAGTCCAAGCTCAAGGATGCCAGCGAACAGGGCTGGACTGGCCATCGGGCGTACCGGGCAATGCCCAAAGGGCCGATGCCCATATTTGGGCTGGTCTGTCTGCCTCATACAAAACACATGTTTATGAGAAGCGTAAATCCGTTGAGAATTGTTGGAGCAGGGCGCGCGTATCCGCCGGGGCACCTGCTGTATGTACTCGAACGGGATTCCGCCACCTCAGCGGCCGTAGTGTTCCGGGGCATCTGCGGCCGCTTTGTAATGAGCAGCTTCCGCGTCCAGCGGCTGTGTCACCTGGATGGGGGGGGTGGTCAAAAGCGCCTCATTTGCATTTAAAGAGACAGCACCAAAACAGGTTGCTCTCAGACGCACCTCAGAACAGGTGTAGAAGAAAGGCCCGTGGAGCTACAAATAATGAGACTCAGACCCAGGCATTGCAGTTACGCTTTATATAGGCCACAAATTAATGATTTAGATGTAAAAATCAATTATTTGAAAACACGATATGTCCATTTTAAACTGTGTGCAATCTACGTCAATACACTGCTTATTATGGACCATGTCTCTCACTTCAAAGTCCATCAAAAAAGTATTCAGACATAAACACACAACCCAGAGAATGTTTTGTTGCTAAAATGGCAGAAGGAGGTTGCAGAGACACTGGAGCTGGTTTGTGATTGGACAGAGCTGAGCCACATCCTGTTTCCTGTTTCTCAAAACACAACGCAACAAATGTGTAGAAATCTCACTTTTTTTTACGACTTCTTTTGAGCCATTCTTTGTCAGAGCAGGAAGTGGACAGTGAGGACCTGAGACATGTAATAACATTTGTGGACAGTGGTCGCCCCGCTCCCTCTAGAGTCTGGACCAATGGCTCCTATGTGTTTGTTATTGTATTTCTTGCGTTCGGACTATATCATTCTCATTGACTTTTAATTTTTTTTTTCAACAAATCACACACTTATACTAGGTTTTATTGTGTTTTCCAAAGCAATACAAAGGCTACAATCAAGACAACCTATTCATCAACGTCTCATGAAGAGGACAATTTAATCTTTCCCAAACAAAAAGCTAGAATGCATTATACTGTGTTACAAAATATAGTTAATTGACAACTTTGTAAAATCCTCCTTGGCGACTACTGCTGTGATTTAGGGCGATACACAAATAATAATAATTAAATATCTTCTGCTGAGAGACAATCCTAGACCTCTGGATCTTTTAACATGTCCTTCAGTGCCAAACAGATCTCCACTACACGTTAACAGCACCGTAACAGAGGCAGATAAAAACTAAAAGCTATGTAGATATAAATAAGTTTTGGTCATGATATGTTCACGACAGATATTTGAGATTTAGATATTCTTGCAACCGTAGCACATCTGGCTCACAACCTGAGAAAGCTTATCAAACAGCTCCCTCTTGTGGCAGAAATCGGCGGTGCGTGTGACAGTTCAGGTTCTGGGACACTTCTTTGTTAGAGATTAAAGTTGTTGAAAGGCAAACTAAGGACAACCAACTATTTACGGTATTTCTGAATCTGTTCAGGTGGTTAGAAAAATGTGTGAGAGACTTAGACACACTTTATTGACCTTGTCACAGTAGCATGTATAGTATTTCACAATAAAATAACATTAAAGTAACAATCTGAAAATAATAATAATAAGTGAGAATAATATTGTGAGAATAGAATCATTTGGATATAGGCACTCGGGAATATACATATCTGTGAATACACATTTACAGAATACAGAGCTACTGTGTTTTACAGCCTTAAACCATGCAGCTGCTACTTTAAGGATTGTCACATCTATAGCTCATATTTTTAAGACAGAAATGTGACGCAGAGAGGACCCTGACCCTAACCCTCACTCAACTCTCAGCCCAAAGCATCAAAAAGTGACTCTATGGGCTCTGTCTTCAAAGGCAAACAACATGTTTTCTAACGTATGTAGTCGTCTGATTTATTCACTTTTTACTTTTACAAGGCTCTTTCCATTTGGTCAAACAACATTATTATTTATGTCAAAAAAGGTTAGGTCCCCCAGCTTTAGAATAATATAATCGTGACATTTGACATTTGATGAGGTTTCCATTTAGCAGTGGAAACAGTGTTATGAGCTCACACTGTCATGTTTGTGGTGGTTCTCCTTCTGCGCCCACATGAATGGAGGCGTGCAGACAGAGCCCAGGCCGACTGCTTTGAGACGGGATTGAAGAGGAAGTGGAGGGAAAACTTCAGACACAACAGATGGATCTGTTGCAACGGTAAGTCCAGAGAGCAGCGCCACCTGCCTGTGAAAGACTGATCCTGTCACAGCTCTGAAGCTAAAGCAGGGCAGGGCCTGGTTAGTTCTGTGATGGGAGACCTCTGGGAACACCTGGTGCCATAGTGAGGCCACTGTGGCTGCAATTGTTGTTGTGTCCTTAGGCAAAACACTTCACTCATATTTACTCTTTTTTTATGTACTGTGATTATTCATGATTTGAATGCCTTGTGGAATAAAACCAGGATTTATATCTATATCTAGAAAGGTGTTGGTAATAGATTTGCTGTTGACAAAACTCTTGTCTATTCAGATATTATTGTTATGGTACCAGCTGGATTCGTCTGCATATCTGGCAACCTGAGTCAGGGAGAGTGGGAGAGGCTGCAGTACCACTCTTAGACAGATTGTTACATACTGTGTCTTTGGATTCCAAAGGGCACAGGACACAATTTGGTTTATGTTTATGTGAACAGGAGAGAACGTGGAAATACACGGAATTAGGGCTGTTATCAGAACAGAGTTTATGGGAGTTTATTGACTCCCAAGTTTTAGGAGGAAAGGGACGGATGTTTGTTGCCAAAATAAATGAAGTAAAAGAGTCCTGACATTTGAGATTGAGGTAAGTTTGGAAACACAAGAAAATGTTCGACTCTGAATTAAAACACCTCATTACATCATGTTGCGACCAGTTAGAGAACTACACCAGGACTAGACTAAGAATAAAGCAGGACTTAGCCCAGACTAGGTTAGCACTACGTTAGGACTAAACCAGGTCTAAACCAGGACTAAGTCAGGACTAATTTCGGACTCAACCAGGTCTCAACCAGGACTCAGTCAGAACTAATTTCGGACTAAACAAGGTCTAACCCAGGAGTAAGTCAGGACTAAGTTAGGACTAAACCAGGTCGAAAAACCAGGACCGGTGTGATCTCCGAGTGGAGCAGCCGAGTCCAGACTGAGGTCCACAGGTCACTCACTCCTCCTTTCCTGCTCCTTCCTGCTCCTCCCTGCACCTCCCAGATTGCCCCCTGTAATGCCCCCTGAGCTGTTGACTTTGGCGTTGTCCTCACGTCCTTTATCTGTTTTCACCTCGAACCCGTCCAGATTCTGAACGGAAAGATCGTCACGGCTCGAGGTGTGGATCCGCCGGGCTCACAGGGGTCACAGGGCTCACAGGGGTCACAGGGGTCACAGGGGTCAGCTGTCCACCGCCAGAGAGTGAGGAGATAAATGATACAGTACTTACTGAAGTTATACAATGATCTCAATGAAGACTTATGCAGTAAAGGCAAACACGGTCATGGAACAGGTCCGAGATCATAAGAAAAAGGAGATTTTTATGGAGTGAGGTCAAGACTCACTGTTAACAATTCTTTTTCACAGGGATTTCTTAAAGATGCCTTTTGTAACGGTTTCTATCTTGTCCGTTATCTTAAACCTGGACTAAGACAGAACTAAGTTAGACAGGATTTAAGAAAGACTAAACCAGGACTGAACCAGAACTCAGCCAGGACTAAGTTAGGACTAAACCAGGACTAAACCAGGACTAAACTAAGACTAAACCAGGACTAAGTCAGGACTAAGTCATGACTAAGAAAGGATTTAAGAAAGACTAAACCAGGACTGAACCAAAACTCAGCCAGGACTAGGTCAGGACTAAGTTATGACTAAACTAAGACTAAACCAGGACTCATCCAGGACTAAGTTAGACAGGATTCAAGCAAGACTAAACCAGGACTCAACCTGAACTCAGCCAGGACTAAGTAAGGACAAAGTCAGGACTAAGTCAGGACTATACTAAGACTAAACCAAAACTCAATCCTTCAATCAAGGCTCATATAAGTAAATTGGCTCCAGCCATCTTATAAAATCTGCTTCTTCTGCATTCAGCAAACACCAAGAGTCAGTCCAAATGTAATGAATGGATGAATTGTTTCTATCTTGTTTTGTTAAACCAGGACTAAGACAGGACTAAAGCAAGACTTAACTAGGACTGAACCGGAACAGAGCCTGCAGGTTAGTGTGTATTCAGACCTGCACATTTGCTCCACTTTAAACGGACCAGGATTCGTTTGGAACTCTGATCCGAAGCTTTTATGCAGGTCTGAATACACACAAACGAATCCTGGTCCGGACCAAAGAACCGAACCGAGACCCACTTTTTTAGGTGGTCTCGTCCGCTTCCAAACGAATTCTGGTCCAAGTCGAATCAGGTCTGAATACATCCTAAGTCAGGAGGACTAAGTCAGGAGGACTAAGTCAGGAGGACTAAGTCAGGAGGACTAAGTCAGGAGGACAACCAGGACTAAACTAAGACTTAAACCAGGACTCATTCAGGACTAAGTTAGAAAGGATTGAAGCAAGACTGTCCTGGCTGAATGTATTGAGTATGTTTGTCATGTATCAAAACAAAAAGAAGATTGACAAAGAAAAATGGACATATCTCAAAGGGTAATGGGAAGAAGTAAACAGCCCTCGGTTTTTATTCTTCAACTTTAACTAATAACATTGTTTTTTGTTTTGGTTTTTTTAACAAGATAAGGCCTGTTCTCAATGTACAGTCTATGAGTCAGACGTTGTTATTATTATGCCCAGGACTTTAAGCATCCAGTCGCCTCGGCCCGGGCCTCTATAGAAAGGACCGTCTGGGCATTAGCAGCTGTAGTCCTATACACAGCTGCGATCACAACAGCTCCAATAACACATGTACGTGCAAACATCACTGGTAATTATAGACGCCGCTCCAGAACTCTCCCTGAAGGCCTACAGACCCAGACCCAGGGCCGAGCGGAGACGCAGAGAGGCTTACGGCAGGTTTTTGAAGGTCACTGAAGTCTGCTGACACGGCGCAGAAAATGAAAGAGAATCTGAGGAGGAAAAGACAGAGACAGAGAAGGACGGAGAAGGGTCTGGGTCTCTCTGGGGGGTGTTCCATTACTGCACAGGGACCACACCGCATTACAATGATGAAGGAGTCTGAGGTTTGTATCCTTCATCTGAAACTCCCTCGCTATGGCACCATGTGTGTAATTGTGTGTGCTTTTCTACAGTGTTTTGCATCATTTATAACATCATAAAACCGCGAGTGTAACATGAAAGTTAAGTCGGAATAAAACCTCTGTGGTTTATGTGCACCACGGTCTCAGGTCCCTCTCTGGTCTCTCTCTCTGGTCTCTCCCTCTCTCTCTGGTCTCTCTCTCAGGTCTCTCCCTCTGGTCTCTCTCTCTGGTCTCTCCATCAGGCCTCTCTCTCTGGTCTCTCCATCAGGCCTCTCTCTCTGGTCTCTCTCTGGTCTCTCCCTCTGGTCTCTCTCTCTGGTCTCTCTCTCTGATCTCTCCATCAGGCCTCTCCCTCTGGTCTCTCTCTGGTCTCTCTCTCTGGTCTCTCCCTCTGGTCTCTCTCTCTGGTCTCTCTCTCTGGTCTCTCCATCATTCCTCTCCCTCTGGTCTCTCTCTCTGGTCTCTCTCTCTGGTCTCTCCCTCTGGTCTCTCTCTCTGGTCTCTCTCTCTGGTCTCTCCATCAGGCCTCTCCCTCTGGTCTCTCTCTCTGGTCTCTCTCTCTGGTCTCTCCATCAGGCCTCTCCCTCTGGTCTCCCTCTCTGGTCTCTCTCTCAGGTCTCTCTCTCTGGTCTCTCTCTCTGGTCTCTCTCTCTGGTCTCTCTCTCATTATAAATGTACCTCAAACATACTTCATACAGAGACAGCAGATTTTTCTCCCTAAAGAGCGAGTAGTAGTAGCAGTAGTAGTAGTAGTAGTAGTAGTAGGCAAGGCAAGGCAAGTTTATTTGTATAGCACAATTCATACACAAGGCAATTCAAAGTGCTGAACAGAACAAGAAAGCATTAAAATCATAAATAATCACAGTACATTAAAAAAAAAAAGATAAAAATATAAAATCCCTCAGTTGTATGCACAGCTAAACAGAACTGTTTTCAACCTTGTCTTAAACATTGTCAGAGAGGAGGCCTGTCTCACATCTTCAGGAAGATTGTTCCAGATTTTAGCAGCATGAATCTGAAAAGCAGCCTCCCCATGTTTAGTTCTGACTCTGGGCACTAACAGGAGTCCAGTCCCTGTGCTCCTCAGAGTCCGGGCTGGTTCATATGGGACTAACATGTCACTAATATATTTTGGTGCGAGGCCATGGAGAGATTTGTAACAAGCAGAGCTGTTTTAAAGTCTATTCTCTGAGCCACAGGAAGCCAGTGCAGAGACCTGAGAACTGGACTAATGTGGTCGTACTTCCTGGTTCTAGTCAGGACTCGAGCTGCTGCATTTTGAATGTACTGCAGCTGTTTTACAGCCTGTTTGGACAGACCTGTGAGCAGGCCATTGCAGTAGTCTAACCTACTGGAGACAAATGCATGGATAAGAATCTCCAGGTCTGCTTTAGACACTATGTTTTTGATCCTGGCAATGTTTTTTAGATGGTAAAAAGCTGCTGATGTTACTGATTTGATGTGGCTATTAAAATTTAAGTCTGAGTCCAGTATTACCCCTAGATTTCTGACCTTGTTTGAAGGTTTTAGGGAGAGAGACTGTAGGTGACAGATGACGCTCTCTCTTTGTTTCTGGGGACCAAAGACAATCATTTCAGTTTTGTCTGCGTTTAGCTGAAGGAAGTTGTTTTGCATCCACTCACTGATCTGTTGGATACAGTGAAGGAGTGAGTCCACTGGTCCATGTTCTCCTGCAGTCAGTGAGACATAGATCTGAGTGTCGTCTGCATAGTTGTGATAGGACACTTTGTTTCTGCGTATTAACTGACCTAACGGCAGCATGTAAAGATTGAACAGAAGAGGTCCCAGGATCGACCCCTGTGGTACTCCACAGGTCAGGGCCATATGATCTGAGACACAGTTTCCAATCTCCACAAAGTACTTCCTGTCTTCAAGGTAAGACCTAAACCAACTTAGGGCGGTGCCAGCGACTCCAACCCAGTCCTCTAGTCTCTGTAAGAGGATCTCATGGTCGACAGTGTCAAAGGCAGCACTTAGATCTAACAGGATTAGGATTGAGACTTTGCCTGCGTCAGTGTTCAGCCGGATATCGTTTGTAACCTTGACAAGAGCAGTCTCAGTGCTGTGGTGGGGTCTAAAGCCGGACTGAAACATATCAAATGAGTTGTTAATTATAAGAAATCTAGTAAGCTGTAGGTAGACAACTTTTTCAAGGACTTTCCCCATAAATGGCAGATTTGAGATGGGACGATAGTTGTTAAGTACCGTAGCATCCAGGCTGCTCTTTTTTAGCAGGGGCCTGATGACTGCAGTTTTCAGGGCCTTTGGGAATATTCCAGAATGAAGGGACATGTTTACTATCTGTGTGAGTGAAGGTAACAGACTGCCCAGAGCAGACTTCAGAAATCTAGTGGGTAGTACATCCAGGCTGCATGTGGCGGAGCTCAAACTGGAGATTATCTCTTGGACAGTTTGATCATTTACAGGTGCAAAGTGAGTTAGCTCAGAGAGCCTTTCTGGCTGTTGGATGGTTATCTGTGGATTGGAGACAATGGCGTTTTTGATGCCTTGAACCTTGTCATTGAAAAAGTGTGCAAACTCATTGCATTTACGTTTGGAAGTAAGATCTAATGGCATTTGAACAGGGGGGTTTGTTAATCTATTAACTGTTGAAAACAGAACACGCAGATTGTTACTGCAGCCTTCAATCATTTCAGAAAAATACCTTTCTCTCGTACTACGTAGCACCCGGTTAAACTCGCACAACTTATCTTTGAAGATCTTGTAATCAACCTGGAGGTTGGACTTGCGCCACTTCCGCTCGGCCCTCCGGCACTTTCTCTTTTGTGCCCTGACCGAGTCTGCTTTAGCCCACGGCGCCTTCTGCTTATTTTTCACTATTTTAACCTTCACAGGGGCAACGGTATCCAGAACATTCAAAACACTAGAGGTGACAGAGTTAAACAGTTCATCTACAATAGAATACGATGCATTTTCAAAGTTTATCATTCCCATAAATAGTTCACTCGTATTTTCATTTATGTGTCTTCTTCGAACAGTTGCAGAGTCCACTGGTGGTTTGTTAGTGAAACACATGTCAAAAAATACACAAAAATGATCCGAAAGAGCAACATCGACCATGCTTATATTTGAAATATTCACCCCCTTTGTAACTAACAGGTCTAGAGTGT